TATACTACTTGGCACGTCATCACTCTCTCGGTTACAACTGAAAATATAATATATATCTACTTACTACTACTACTACTACTAGTATAACCTCTTTAAGTTACGTAGTAGTGCTGGAGTACTACCAGTATAGCCTGAACCTGAAGAGTATCATACTTACTTATAAGTATAAATAATCATATACTATAAAGTAGTACTGCAATGTTCCACCAAGAACTAAGCCATAGATATAATCCGAACACACTCTTCTTTACCATGATCACATAATACTTGTACAATAATTGTAATAACCCCCACCTAGTACTGATTCCATCTAGTATATATGATTACTTAGTGTTGAGTAATGTCCAGCTATAGGATATCATATAACATACCTTATTACTTATCTTATAGGAAAAGCATAAGACTTTAATTGTATATTCGTATATACTACCATGTGTACTGATGGAACTAGCTCTTTTATATAGAGTATACGTATATTTACCCCCTCCTCCATCACCAAATAGCTAGTAACAATGATGTCTTTCAAAAACGCCCACACATTCTCTCGCGCAATACTAACAAACCCCCGGGCGCCCCTTGATTGACATTGAGTCTTTAAAGAACACTACTGAGTCAGTGGCACTAACTAATTACCATGCAAATTTAGAGTTGATTGTATCATTTTCAAACTCAGATTCAATCATGTATTTCGTCGAAGTCGAATTTCGTCATTCAACATTCCATGAGACCATGAGAGAAAGTACAATGAAGATAATCGATAACACACACCCCAACCACATTCCTTCATCTATCTTTTCTTCCAGGCGATTCGTATAATGGAATCACGGAGGCGAAGGTCATTGGGAAGTCAAGTTGTAGTGTTTGATTCAGTTTTGATATTGGAGAAGAAAAGGCGACTTTTGCTTTCTTGTGAGGAGGAATGAACAGAATGGTGGTGGTAGTTGAATGTTTTGATACTCAGTTGTAAAGTGGAACAGTTGGGTGCATGCATAAGGGTGAGTATTTTGTGGAGGCTTTTGTTGGAGGTAAGTTGGCGAGTGGTGGGGATGGAAGATATTTTGAAGTGAAATGTTGAGATATTGGAAAGTGTAACTGTAGTTAGAGTTGCTGAAGGGCTTCAAGGGAGATATAGTAGAGTAGTAGTGGGGAAGGGATGGATTAGTATTGTAGTAGCCATTCTGTTATTTGGGAGGGGAATGGAATTTCCGTACCTGTCTTATATCTATTGTTGTGTGTACTGGTGTGATAAGCAGTAGGGATGGCTGTGAACATGATGCTGTTTTGATGAAGGTCTTCAAATTGTCCATCATATCAAGGTTGGTATTGGTATTGGTATATGAGATGGTAGATGGTAGCGCCAGAGAACTCCGGGTCCGTTGATCAGTCGTAACGAGCTCATAAAAGTAAGTAGGTAAGGTAGTATCAAGTGGTATAATATATATACATCGGTAGGAGTGGTGGTTCACAATGCACACGTCTATGCATCATCATCGCCTCGGTCCATCCGAGGGAAACAGACAGACAGACCAGAGGGTACTGCTCTACCGCGTCGAAGAACAAGGCCAAAAGGTCAAGAATCATAGTCGAAGCTATGCAGGAGATAAATCGTCATGTCACCAGCGCCCGTAGACGTCAATAAGTTCCGAGTATGAGAAATCACATCGAACGACGCTGCGAGAAGAAAAAAGACGATATAAAAAAAAAAAAAAAAAAACGATGAAGCACAACACAAATCCCATAAGCCCACAAAGCCCCAAGTCCAGGCCGCCCGGACTGTATAAAAAACACATAAATATAAAATGGTATGTCCCTCCGATGATCAAATATATGTCGTACTGCTTTTTTGTCCTCATCGGGGACTGGTGTAGTCAGGCCCCGATCAACGGTTTCTTGTGTTCACAATGAAGCATGCAAAACCCCATACACCTTGCCCGACTGCGGGCATCAACTCCGGGATATCCCATCCATGTACCCTCCGTCAGTTCCATTACCCAGTTATCGTCAATCGGCTAGCACTATCGCCAGGCCATCCCTGAGAAGTAGTATCCAAACAGAAAAATAACATCCCTCTATCGCAAATGTGGCTGTACCCATACATGCTAACGCCTGGTGGCTGTCGAAGGGTTTACCTCGACGTACCAGCCTCTTGGTATAGAAGGGCTCCGCAGCGTCTGAATATTAGCGCGAAGCTAGATCACACCCGATACAAGTGTCCAGCGGAAGGCTGTCCAAATCAACGCCGCTGAGTGGTGCGTTGCAGCTGCTCCCCAATCCGTAGGGCTTCAGTGCCGTCATCCACCAAGGACTCCTTGAACCACTGGTGCTTCAACGCTTCCTTGGCCGTGATGCGGTTCTTCGGGTCATACACGAATATCCGCTGAAGGAGATCGAGGAATAGTTTATGGAACTTGGTGTTGGTCGGGATGAAATCCTGCGGCTGGTTAGCAATCCTGATCCGGGTCTAGGCCGTGAGTGGAGGGGGATCGTACCGGAAGCTGCTTCATTGCCCTCACATACTTTCGTGAGGCACGAGTGGTCTGATCGTTCGGGTATTCAAGCTTGTTCCTGTTGAAATACCTGGGACTGTCAGCATAGTTCGGCGGGTGTAACCACGATGTAACTTACTTGGCGGCCTGGTTTTGGCCTGCGCTGCGACCGCCTTGCATCACCTGCCTCACTAGTCTAGTGTCGATGCGGTCGCCGATAACAGCTTCCATCATGGCAAGGTGCTCCAGGTTGTCATGCGTCTGGAAAAGAGCATCCCCAGTGAAGAACTCCACGAGGATGCAACCGATACTCCAAATGTCGCAAGGGAAGCTCCAGCCCAGATTTAAGATGATCTCGGGGGCCCGATAGTGTCTAGTGGACACCACAGACGAGTGATACTCATCATCAAAGGTGGCTGACCCAAAGTCAATCAGGCGGATCTCACTGTCCAACAGCACACGTCTTTGACGTGCACTCCGGGAGATGGCATGCGAAGAGGATGGGATGGTGCGATTATAGGTGAACGTTTGGTAAGCGTTGCTGACGAGGAGGATGTTTTCAGGTTTAAGGTCGGTGTGGATGAGATTGAGGTCATGAAGGACTGAGAATGTCAGCTGGATATCCCCAGTGATAGGCATATTGCCAAAAGTACTCACAAGCTACACTGGTGAACAGCTGTCGGGCGAAGTTTTGAATCTGGCTGCTGGGGAACGGCACAAAGCCGTTTCCCTTCAGAAAATCGAAGACACTTTGCCCCAGCAGATCCGTCACGATACAGATGTGATTGCGATAGTCAAAACAATCCCGCAGGTGGATGCACTTGTTGCGGTTCTGCTTGTCATTGGAGGCCAGTGTGGACAGCACCCGAAGTTCAATCCGCGAAGCATCCCGGTACTTTTGGATCGAGCGGATGATCTTGACGGCACAGCGGGTCTTACGCTGCTTGTCAAACGCTTCAACCACCTTTCCGAAGGTACCTTGCCCCAAGAGTTTGATGATCGAGTCTGCGAAACGTTAGCATCGCTCGTATCTGACAGACCACGAAGGAAGCACATACATCGCTCAGTCAAGGGAGTGTTAGGATTGACAATATAATGGCCATCGTCGTCATCATACTTTTCGCCTCGATTCGCATACTACAGTTGGTTAGCAAAGAAGGAAAGAGAGAGGAGAATGGGGCGATGACTTATCACATACATCGCGGACCACAGGCACCGGAACATCCTTTGCCTTGATGGGCGGCTTCGGCGGCGGGACATAGCTCAAGAACGCATCCCCTGCGTTCTCCAACTCCCGCCGTTTTTGCTCATCGCGAGCGGACTTGCGGGTGGTTACGCGCTTGCGTTTCTGGCCAACATTGGCATCTTCGTAAATGATCCCATTACTGGCACCCGAACTTCCCTGGGACAGAGATGTAGGAGCCGTGGTGTGCAGAGAGGTTGTCCGATCAGTCGACAGGGAGGCAGCCGATGACTCCTCGCCATAGTGTTGTGGATTGATTGAGTACGACGGCCGATCATAATACGTGACGTCGTAGGCAGACTCGATGCCAGTGCGCCGTTTTTTCCCGGCCGGCTGAGGAGCGTTGCCGTTGGCTGCCGTGACGGTGGACGCTGTCGCGAGACTGCGCGAGGAGGCCTTGGACTGTTCCGGAGGGGGCGTGTCATCGATGACAATCACCTCCTTCGGGATCCCATTTTTATAGAACTCGCCCCAGTTGGGTTTCCTCCTCCGGGTGCCCTGCGCTGTTGTGCCAGCGCTCACAGCGTTGTGGGCTGGAGGCATTGTTGTGGTGGCAGTGGTTGTGTTGGTGGTTGTGGTAGTCGTTGGGGTGGGTGCGGTTGGCATAAGCTTCGGAGATTGCACGAAAGGAAGGGTAGTAGGCGTCGGGGCGGAAACGGGATAGGGATATGAAGAGGGGACGAGGCGAGAAGTGGCTGCAGCGGAGGTGGTGGGATAGGATGCGTTCGGTTGGTAGGGTTGATGATGGGGGTATCCGTAGTGTTGCTGATGCGGATGCGTCGCGGTAGCCGTGGAAGGGGTGGACATGATGCAAAGGAAAAGTGTATACTAGCCGGATGTCCTCACGGCGGATTCCGGCTAGATGAGAAGGAGAGAGGGGGAAGGAAGAGAAAGGAGGGAAAAGAGAAAGGAGATAAGGACGTGAAGAGGAGGAAGAGAAGAAAGAGGAAAGGAGAGAGGGGAGGAGATTCACAGTCGCCGGATGGTCGTCGGCCGTCCGAATTGTCGTAGTAACAAGCGGCAGTCGTTCCTCGTAGTAATCCTAATCTCTGCGAAACTACCTGGGAGCAGGGTTCGAACACCCGGGGATTCTCGTGTTGAAATTCCAGCAAAAAGTGGAATGAAAATTGATGGGGGTATAGAAAAGAATCAAAAGATAAAAAGGATTGCAAGAGAGAAAAATAAAAAAAGAGGAGTCAAGGAGAATATTATCGGGCAAAGGAAAGGAAGAGCGAGTCGAGAGGCGTGGGGATCACTGGCTGGAGGGATGGATGGATGGCGAGGCGGTCGGTCGGGGGAACCAGCAGGCGTCCGAGAAACGCTTCGTACGGTACGGATGAGCTCACGAAGGAAGACTCATTGGGTCACCGGGTGAGCCAAAGGAGAAATCATTGAAGTGTCGAAGAGCATCAGCTTGGGATAGTGGGTTTATCAAAGAATGGTGAGCATCGATGAAAGGGGGAGAAAAGCAAGAAGAGGTGGTGGTGCTCCGCGAAGACTGGAATTTGAAAATGGGAGAGGCGATGAGATCTGGTGACAGATAGACGGACTCCCAGAAAGAACTGAGTTGCGCTGGAACGGGAAATTCCAGCGCCCAGAGAGCAAGTGAAAATGGGAACCTTCCCAAGAAGTAAGTAGTTGGTAAGGACCAGTTTATCCTCGTCAATTCTTGCCTGGATTTAAACAATTCGGCCTACAGCAACAAGCACTACAAAGAAGACGGACAATAACAACTACAAATCTTCCTTCTATGAGGGGGAGATCAAAATGGCAGCGTGCAGAACTTATTCCTTCAGCCCGCATTTACTGACCAAAAAGAATACAGACCGAACAGAACCTCCTCTCCACCATTACGGCGGTCTCAAGGGTCATGGTGGATGATGGCGCCTCGCCGCACGAGCACCACCACAGAAGGTTTGTTCGGTTACGACACAGACACACACACACACACATACAACTCGCCCTCTTCATCCTCCATTCCAGTCGGTGTCATTGGGCCTTCTGGATCAATCAATCCTCCGAGGAAGCCTATTCTTCGGCTGGACACCGTCTTCGATGTCGGCTGTCTTGCTTGCCCTTTGGCGATTCCCCCTTTTCTCTATGCGGCAATAGCCCATGAAAGGGCAATCGCGATTATCAATAATAGTAATTCCAATCCCAAACAAACGATCTGGCACGGTTTTTGTAGGCGCAGATCGCAAGGCTCATCTAACCCAACCAGCCCCGGAGGCAAAACATAGCGCCGGAGTTTGAGGCGAGTCTAGGCTTCCAAGCTCTGGATGACATCCACCGGTTGAGGTCCTTTCTTCCGCGAACCGAAATGTCAGATATGAAACACGTTACCAATTACCCTGCGAGACCCAACTGGTCAGGTAAGAAAGGGAGACGATGATGATGATAAGGTATGGGTGGCATTGTAGATGTGTTCAACCGGCCTTTCTTGTCATCGCTCTACTCGTCTGCGGTCTTCGCCGTGCAGTGTTAGTCTATTTAGTAGTAGTTGGTGGTGATGGTCTGGTGGCAATATGTCGTCGTGGCTGCTGTTGCGTTTCGGGCACCTTCAGACGACCGGAGAGGGCTTGCTGCATGACATGCGTTTTTCCATCTGGTGGGAAGTAAAACTAAGAGAACTAACTCGTTTGCAGTAGTGAGAAGAGATGCCTCGTACCGCCAATTTGCCCTGGGAGAAGGTTTAATAATAACCCGAAAGAACGATGCTCTGGATGATGACGCCGCGGAGGCGTTTGATTGGTTTTGGGGGCGGCGAATCTCCGCTTTTCGGCCTTGTGCTCCCTTCGTCCCAATTCTTTAGTCCCTGATCTCTGACATCATTCCCCCGAAGTTGATCCTCTTGTTTTTGAAGTTGGGGGTGGTACCCTCCCCCGCTGAGTTGATCATGCTCTTGGGGAACCCCGCTTTGCTGCTCTCGTCTGCAGAAAAAAAAGGGATCATCGTAGGGATAAGAGGGTGATGATCCGAGTGTGACTGGACCGATGGCTGAAAGTCTGGTGGACAAGCTGATTGGCAACTTTCCCCGGGCAACCGATGAAGTCAGATTCAGTAGTTGTTCCGGCTGAAAGAGACTTGCGTGTTTGGTCCCACCCGATACCCCGAACAATCTAGCGTTAACCCTAAACTGCTCTGGGAAACCTCGGGCTTGGCATGCAGTACAAATGGCCTCAGGTACGAAACAAACTACAACTACGCGGGAAATAGTAGGGAACGAAGGGATAGAAGATGGTCAGTCTGCTAGGTAAATATGTCATATCATTTCAAACGTATGAAATGCAGTGACCGAGTCGATACACGGAGAGACGGGCTCTACCAATGTCGTTTCTTTCATTTCTTTTGTTTTGCTCTCTTCTCCCCGTGGCACACTGGCAGAGCCAAATACCCTTGGGGCGTCAATTGTCGTCTTCCAGACAACATGTCACTGAACTGTCCGACAATATCCGCAATCCCAATAGACTGGCGTTTGCTGCTCACTGCCGTCGGTTAGAGAGATAGAGCAAGCGGATCGCAATAGCAATACCCTGATTCCCCTCCGTAACACACGGGCATAAGAAAAGTAATACATCCACATGAAATATCGGGCAGAGACCCGGGACAATTAAACAGGGGGTAGTAAGCTTGGAAGAACGGAAGAGAATCGGGGGCTTGAGTATTACTCAGACAATAGTCCGGGGCCTCACAATCGGATGCGAAAAGAATGGGCAAATGCACATACAATGAATGATAAGAACACCAACTGCGAGCACTGCGGAGTATGCAACCTTGCCAAGTAACCACGATCCTGCGCAGTCACAGCACGGAACCCAAAACGGAATTACAAACCGCTGAAGCGACACATGCTAGGTAATCTTAGTCCGCTCGATCCTCCTTCACATCTTTCGAATAGGCCTTTTGTACGTGTCGGGGGCCTCTGCCATCCAGCTCCAGCATGAATAGAACATCCCGAACCTGGATGCCGGCACCTTTATCTTTGTCTTCTCGCCATGTTCCCAGACGTTTTGCAGGCACGGCGGCTGGCTCACCGGAACGTCCGGGTTTGTCCGCGCTTGCAGGCGGCGTGGCGGTGTTGACCCGGGACGGCGTGGAAAATCCACTGCCAGCTGCTGCACCACGATTTAACCACGAGTACGTTTTTTTGCTTCCAAACATGCGACCAGATAGCATGCTGTTAGTAGCCAAGCGCGCGGTCTCTACTGACTGCTGATGTTGCTGAGCCTCGCTGGCCTTGGCATCCATGAGCTTTTTGGCTTCCTTCTTCGACATTCCCTTCTTATCGATGCTAGGGGCTCTCTCTCCGATCGGTGTGGAGGCGCCGGAGCCAGGGATATCCACAGATTCTGATCGGCTCGCTCCTCCTTCTCCAAGGATGGCATTTGCGCTGCGCTTGGTACGCTTCGCAGCACGCGCCTCTTCGCTGGAATTGTCCTTATCCATAAGCAGGCGATACTTCTCCGACAGTGGTTTGGTACCCTGCGATTCGATTGCTGAATGTGGGCCTATATGCCAACCGATTAGTCTGGAACACTTCTTGAAGCCTCGGGGTAAACAAACGCTTGAGTGGTGTGCTAGGATTTTCCACACTCCCATTGACAGCATTAGCCGAAGTAGCAACGTCCTTCCAATCAGTGGGGACAACCCCATGTGAGTGTGCGCGTCGACTGCGAGCCAGTGTTGAAGAATAATCGACCACCGTTCGCAACCGCTCCTCACATGCGATAGACATTAAGCTGAGAATGTCCAATAGAGGTGCACCGGTCTGGTTCAAAATTGTCTGCCCGGAACGTATGATCGATGATCCATCTGGTCCAGTGACTTCAATAGGCTGTTGGCGACCGGGTACGGGATGATACAATCCTTCTGCCGGTATACGGACTCCGAGTTCGAATCCACGTTTCTGCAGCCTCTGCTCCAAAACCTTGGTCCACAAGAAAGAGTCTTGTAAAGTATACTGTGCGCGCCGAGCTGCCTCAGTGTCTTCGCGGGTCGGCTCGTTAGGATCCTTGAAGGGCGCAGGAGGCTGCGTCGACGGCTCCCTGTAGAAGGAATCCTGCGTCGTCGCCGGCTTATATGGGGAGGGTTGTTCAAAACTAGGAGTCGTAGGAACGCTCCCAGTCGTCGACGCTTGTGATGTGAATGAAGTATTCACAGCAGGTGGCACCGGTTGTTGAGGTTGTTGCTGCGGAATCTGTGGCTGTTGAGGGCGAGGTGGTTGTTGAGCCTGCACCGGAGGACCAGAGTAACTGCTTGTCAGGTACGCCTCCTCTTCCCGCACATCAATTCCTGATGATGCTAGCACATCTGTGAGCTCGGCAGCATCGGTAGCCTTGTCTGCCGGTCGAGAAGGGGGTCCCATCGCGCCTGGAGGTGGAGGCGGAGGAGCGGGAGTCTGGGGGACGCCGTTCATATTCATGGTCGGTGTAGTCATGGGAGCCGGCTGGTGTTGCGGTAGTTGTAAGGTCCCGAAGCTAGGTGAGGCGTAAGGAGACTGGGACTGAGGGAGAGGTGAAAGATGTTGGCGCTTCAGAGGTGGAGGGACACCACCGTTTACAGGCGACGGGGCACCAGGTGAAGGTGAGGAACCCGGCGGGGAGAATGACTGCGTCAAGTGTTGTTGCTGGGGTTGCGCCATGGTGAATGGATGTTGTGGCTTCGATGAAAATTCCAACTCGAAGAATTAAAGGCAAGGCCGAGTCACGGTTGCGCTGGACGCTAGAAGGGAAGGTGTTTCGCGTTGTATGTATGTAGGAAAACCGGGCGGACTACTTTAACCGCCTCCACCACCAAGTGAGACCATCTCAGGTCATCGCAAGCAAGATATGAATGGCGTAGAGAGATCGAACAGGGAGTCTTGGTGAAGAAGCGAGCACCGGAGGGAGGGAAGAAGGTCGACGGGGTTTATCGGTGTTACTCTCGCGAACGGCGAAGGGGAGCTTCGCACCGACGAGGTTTGCTGTTGCGGCGATCCGGCCGGGAGCATCACGTGGCTGGCTTAGGTAAGTCCGCGCCATGTTGGACCTTGCGCTTCTTGGTTTCGCGACTTTCCGTGTCTTTAATGCGCCCAGTTGCAGGAAATGCAGAAGATATAACACACTTTGCCTGTTGCTCAAGATACTACTGTGGCGGACGCTGCACTGACTGTTTAAATTCCTGCAGATTTAGATCAGGTTCTGTGCAGTACATGTCATGGGCAATCAATCCCGCGTCAACTGACATCCTACGGAGCAGAGGCAGCTAGTTTAGGAATATCGGCACTTCCAGGAACACCATCACCTACTATTGACGCCGTCGCATCTGTACTGGCCTGCTGCATACTCTCATCAGTTCTGCATCGCTACCTGTAGCTTATCCGAAACTCCCAATCATGGCCACAAAGCGAAAGGCGTCGGCCTTAAATGCCGCGGTGGATGACGAGCCGGCCGATCCAACGGATGAATTGGCTTTCTATTGTCTAGGAGGTGGAAATGAAGTCGGGCGATCATGTCACATAATCCAGTATAAAGGCAAAACAGTGATGGTGTGTCATTCGCAACCCAATGCTGTAACTACTGTTTACTGACTGTGGTTTCATTAGCTTGACGCTGGTATGCATCCTGCGAAAGAAGGCTTCTCAGCCCTGCCCTTCTTCGACGAATTTGACCTCAGCACGGTAGATATTCTTTTGATCAGCCAGTATGTGGGACAGTCTCTCTTTTGCGTTCCCCTAGTCACCCTTCCTACACCGTCGCCCCCGAGCATGCGGGGATTGTTCATGGCCGTGGATTGCATCCCACACCACATACCTCCTTGGTTTCCCAGCATGGTGGCAGAGTTCTTCTCTGCCATCATAGCAATTGCATCTGCTCATGTACTGAGAGACACAATACAATATATGCTAGTTATTCATCTTGGTCTTTGCGTTGTATCTCTGTATCCGTGCCTTTTAACGCAGCCTCTGCTACATCATTGCAATTTCATTCTTGCTCGACCATCTGAATCGGACAGTCGGCTGATAGATACTCTACTTAACCCATAGTTTCCATGTTGATCATTCCTCCGCGCTCCCCTATGTGCTCAGCAAGACCAATTTCAAGGGCCGTGTATTCATGACACACGCCACCAAAGCCATCTACAAATGGTTGATACAGGACAATGTGCGTGTGAGCAGCACGGCCTCGTCTTCGGATCAACGCACCACTCTGTATACCGAGCAGGACCATTTGTCTACGCTTCCCTTGATCGAGACGATCGACTTTAACACAACGCACACCATCAATAGCATTCGCATTACTCCCTTCCCTGCTGGCCACGTCCTTGGTGCGGCAATGTTCCTGATTTCAATCGCCGGCCTCAACATCCTCTTTACCGGTGACTACTCTCGTGAAGAAGACAGACACTTGATCCCAGCCGAAGTTCCCAAAGGTGTGAAAATCGACGTGCTTATCACAGAATCGACGTTCGGCATTTCCTCCAATCCCCCCCGCCTGGAACGTGAAGCCGCCCTTATGAAAGCCATTACCGGAGTCCTGAATCGCGGAGGCAGGGTCTTAATGCCGGTGTTTGCCCTGGGTCGCGCACAAGAGTTGTTGCTCATTCTGGATGAATATTGGGAGACACATCCCGAACTTCAGAAGATACCTATCTACTATA